TGAAAATCACTAAGTTTTCTACGGGAAACCTGAAACGCAAAATATTCGAAATATTTAGAATAAGTACTCACCGGCGGAAACGGCACACTCGTCAGTAAGGATTCCGTTGACCCATCCATCTTCCTCTTCTTGTTCGAAGAACTCTGTAAATGCTGCTGGATTATACCACATACAAAATTATTAGAATGTATTGTATAAAATTAAACTAAAAACAAGTACAACATCCTTCAATATATCCCATTTCTCGAGAACCGAATGAATCTAAGGGAAATTTTAGGCGATGTTCGAGCAAAATGTTATAAAGGCTTAACAACGAACTTAGTGGGGCAAAAGAGCTCTAAAATCTTAAGTGAATGCATGAAGGAAATAGTAGCGCAAAAAAACATACATATGGAGAATCATTCCTTGACTAAAGCACGATAGACAAAATAAACAGCCGCACTAGGTTGATTTTGTCTGTAAACGATGAGACAAACCACAAAATATACCATCAGCCAACCATAATAAGCAAACAGATATATCAACAGTATGGCATATCTGTCTTGCTAAATAAACTTGCGGTCGATATTCTCAGAAATGAGTGAAAGATTTAAAGCAAGCAAAAAATACGCATCAAACAAAATGCTCACCAGCTGAAAATAACTTCATGTATAAGTTCTTATAAAAAATATCCTGTATCAACCCCACCATGAGTCAAGCCTTAAGTATTTACTTGTCCAGCCCCAAGTATCAGTACTTGAATAATATATCACTGAAAACAATAAATTACACATACAGTTCGGATTAAATATCCATAGCACCTGAAAATCTAGTAATAATGATGAAATATCAGCCAAACCTAATTGAGAGATAACTCACCATAGGTAAATCTGCACTCGTCGAGCATGAAGGCCCACTAGCATCTGTTGACGTGTGAAGTTGGGGTGAGTAGCCAGTCTCACCATGAACAGCGGTGAGAGATATCGCTCGCTGTCCATGCACTCGGTCACTTGTTGTAGAGGCCTGTAATGTTGACAAAAATTCAATTTGTGGATATTACATTAGAGATCTGACAATCTAACTACTAAAGATTGGTGCATCATGTTCAAATCATATAATCATATATTGTGTAATACCATATAATAAGACAATTGTTTTCAAAATCGAAAATCCTACTAAATACATAAAATAAAGAAATTACAGTGACAGCAATAACAACACTTCTAAAAGTTTAACGAACGAAATTTCAGAATACACTTTCAAACAAAAAAAATTAATATCGCACATACACGCCACAAGCCGATATTAAAATCCGGATGAACTTCATAAATGCCTAGTTAACAGCGCGAAAAATTGTTTGTGGACCATGAATAAACTTGCAAAATAATTATTTTTCCTAAAATACTCACTGTCATAACCGATTCATTAAAAAATATTGAATCTTGATGCCCCTTCTTAAGTCTCTTCTTAGGAGGACTTTGCAAAAGTCAATATTTGGTGAAAAATTGAGTAATACGAAAATTAATCTGACCTGCGCAAAATGTAATAGCCACAAAAATAACAAACAGTGAAACAATAATAAAATAAGCCCATGACATTACTAAAACCAACAGTTGCCATGACCATGACCATCATACCGTATAAATAGCCGTATAATCTAGAGACAAATACTATTAAGATAACATCTCTTGTATCAAGTTACATATAACAATGAAAAAAATATGCCAGATTTATCGATGTAACATGTCTCACGACAAGATCTTATAATCACGAAAAAGAGGAAGCACAAGTAGTCCAATTGTAATTTAAATCAATATAACAGCTGCTGTAATTGATCATTCATAGCACTCACCAATGGTAAATCCTTCTCTGTTGAGGATGAGAGCACAGGCACGTCTTCCTGACGTGAAGAGCAGCCTGCCTTGCCATGCGCTGAGGTGTTCATAGTCACACACTGACCAGGCGTTTGGCCACCTCTTGACGGGCTCTGTGAATAAAGAGAATTTTTTAACTTCAAATTTAAATAGCAAACGAAAGCAAATATGATTGACATAGATACTATTACAGATAACGGTAAAAAAGATCACTACATTAAAACTGGAGCCTACATAGCAGACGCTGTAAAAACAATACCTCTGAGATCAGTGAAGTCGGAGACGTTGCAGCCTCGGGCTCAGAGTTCACTGCAGCCACGTCATGGTTTTCTCCTTTTTGGCAGTCCTGCGTATAGTGACCAAATTGGCCGCAACTGAAGCACTGCTTCCTTTTTGGCTTCTTTTTTGGACCCATCTGTAAGATTCAGTGGAATTTGGATATTAAAGCTGTTTAAATATTAAAGGTTATGAAAGTCTTACAGATATCAATCTGATAATATAGTTGCTAGTAAATAAATCAGATTGATATCAGATAGTTACTAGTAAATAAAAGTCACTAGTAAGAAAGGTAAATAAGATACTTCCTAGTAGGACTACTAAATAATTTCAAATAATGAAACATGGTCCAAAAATAAACTTACAAATCTTATTCGATTGTCTTCATGTCAAGTAAAATAATCAATATTGCAGCCCATGATAAGCTCATTTCATTTGACCAATTAAATAATTTAATTCATAATGTTAGGTTTCATCCAATTTTTAACCAGGTAAAGTCATCAATTAGACAATTTGCAAAACAAACTCCTGTTATCACCAATTTTTTGCATAATAATTTATTTGCAACATGTATCCAAAAAGGGTTCCATAACCATGACATATGCTAACAAGTTCTCATGATTAAGTAAGAACTTGGATGTGTCTATTTTATATCAATACATGTTTCATTACTAAATAATACATGTTTTGTTAAAACATTAATCACAATTAGGTACCGAGTGTGTCTATTAATTTGCTCTCCATGATGAGCAATGAATCAGAGCATTTCTAGGAAAATTGTAGTTTATTTGCATAAAAATTTGTTTCTCATTGTCACTTCAGTGTAGGAAATCTCCATGAAAAATGCAACGCTCACTACAACATAGATGAGGTAAGAGTATATTGAGGGAATGTTGCGTTGAAAATTCAACAGCACTAAATAACATAGCTTGCGCAGTGAGCGCAGAAAAAGCAAATTGTTTTCAGTGGTTGGAAATTTATTAATCGTAATTGAAGACAGATTTTTAGACACTCATGATGCATTATTTTGATTCTTGTATAAAAGTCCAAACACCTAAGTCCATATATTTAACATAATCAAATAGCCTAACCCATAATATTGCTCACACTTGGCAACCAATTGATCATCATACTTCATCCTCATTAATTGGGAACAATATTATACATGCAAGTCAATGGAAATTTCCTGCAAAGAAATGCAGAACCCAAAATGCAACTGGCTGATTCATGACTAACATGTACATTAATAAAGAAATTCTTCAATATATAATGGTTTTGTGAATTTTAGAGATTTTTATTTAATTAATGGCAAAAACTGAAACGTTTATAATGCCTCATGAAGCATTTTCTTCTTGAAATTAGTCAAATTAAGAACTTTCCTTTAAAATGAGAAAATTAAACAGACAATGACCTGTACATTTGGTGGTTATCCTAGGGTAGTCAAACGTAACACATACTATCGCTATGATGAACATTTATTAAGTGATGAAATATCAACAAAAAAAGACTTCACCAGCCAATATCAAGCATTGAGGAAGTTGGTACAGCACTTTTGTTTTAAAGAAGTGATCGATTAAATACCATAATAGCACTCACAGAAAGTGCGGTGNAAAATGATGCATACAAACTAAGCTGCAAAGCTGCAACATAAAAAAGTTGCTCCTGTAATATGTAAGGAATATGCTATTGTTTCACATAATTCTTGATATTAGTCAAATTGAACTTTCCTTTAAAATGAGGAAATTAAACAGAGAATGACATGTACATTTGGTGCAGCACCAATGAAAGTTTCTTGAAAATTTTTTTGCCTATTATTAAAGTTAGATGTTCTAAAACAATTGTTGCGTTATCATGACAATTTTTTTAGGACTCCGCAGCCAAACTTATAAATTTAATTTGACTGAATAGCCATGTGCAATTTCTTTCTATAACCTGATTTGAAAACTTGCCAATACTGCACTTCAGTCTCACTGTAAATACACTCCCCAACTGCATGTGCTATTAACTGTTGTATGACTTGCATACTTGAATTTTATAGCATATTCCTTACATATTACAGGAGCAAATGAAACAGTAGCATATTACTTGTTTCATACATGAGAACAGTTTATGTATATCAGTGATATATTGTAGAATACCATTATATTAACAATTGACTTTGAAAAAAGGGATCATTGATGCCTTTGTCCCAGTTTGATCATTTATGAACCTGTCCCATCTTTGTTTCACACGGTAACTAAAGATAGCTGCATAATGCAGAACTCCAGCAACTAGTGCTATCACACACACTCAAGCACTAGGCTAATTGGATGCACATGTGAAGGTATTGCAGGGTCCAAGCTACCATCAGATTGGCAAGTTCTTAGCAATTCTTTCACCTACACACACTAGACAAGGGAACTATTCAAGAAAGTGCTGCCTCTACTGCTAATGATTTGATAATTTTGGAGCAAAAGCAAGAATTCCCACAACAATATAAAAGAGCAGCACAAGCAATGGCAGGGTATGAAAAAAGCAGCCAGTAGACAAACAGAAAGTCAACAGCAGAAAGACCATCAATTTAACTCAAAATTTGATGACCACTTTGATGTTGCACATGCATTAAATTTAATCAAGAATCCAGAAGATCAAAATTTATTGCTTGGACAAAGACAGAGGAAGGCGTGGAAGTTTAGGTGGAATTTATAAGGTGCTTCAAGTAATTGAAAAAATGATGACATGATAAACACTAAAATGCAGAAAAATGAAGAAAATATGTAGACAAGCAGAAATCAGAAATATTTTGATACCACTTCCAGCAACACTGGTACAAAAGCTGGAGTATGTGCCTTACTGCAACAGACATTGCAGCTTTGCAGCTTAGTTTGTATGCATCATTTTCTTGAATTGATTATGGCTACCATTTTCAATGTTACTGGGATGTTGCATTGGGCCAAGTATCAAGCTGTTTGAATGCTTCTCTCAAACATGGGATCAAGTAGATAAATCAAAACCTTAAAGTACTGCAAATATTGAAAATCTTTCATCCATCCTGAAACCAGTAACTGAATCTATTATTTAGTTCTACCATAACCAACTTCACATAATCCAGGGAAGAGATGACTATGAGAATTATTGCAGGTGGCTCTGGTATTTCTTGGTAAAGAGCCAAATGATGTTCACATTAATGCTCTGGGTGCTTTTCACAAAGCCCGCTAGATGGCAAAAAGATATACAACATGAAAATTAATCCTTTCAATCCCAGTTTCATCTTACACAGTCTAAATTCAAAGGACTTCAACAGTTCAATGCATGTACTGTGAAACTGTATCTCAAAACATGGTATACATGCTTGTCTGCTGCAATTGCTCTGTTTCAACATACCATAAATATCTACATACTGCATGAAAACGTTGCAGCGTTAAAGTACGTACCTAAACGTACCTAAATAAATTTGTTTTATCTTTAGTTGTAACATTAAGAGAATTTTTTCATGCTAAAAGTAGCAAAACCTAAATTAGACATGGAGAATCGTGACATGGAGAATCGTGACAAGTCGTTCCTAGACTAAAGCACGATAGTCGAAATAAATATCCGCAATATGTATATTTTATGGTCACCGATAAGACAGACCAACAAAAAATATTTCAATAACCAACCATAATAAGCAAACATATACTGTATATCAACAGTATTTATGACATAGCTATCTTGTTCATAGACGGGTTTCTAATCAATTTTCTCAGAAACGAACATAATGATCAGAAAAAATACTTGAAACAGTCAAAAAAACACATCTAACACAGTGCTCATGTATTTTAAATTACTTTACGTTTATACAATTCAAAAAATATTATTCTTTATAACTGCGACAACGAATGACGCCCTAAGAACTTAGGTACATTATTATAGTAGTATACTGTAGCGGTGTCAGCGTTGATCAGGCCGTTAGATCTGTCGCCAATTCTAAACATCGAAAACATTCATAGCTTGTTAGGAGTCTCGAGCACGCAACTAACTACTACAGTTTTACGTTCCTTAACCGCCCAGCCTCCTAGACGATTTGACCATAACTGTCGCAGGAAGCTGGAATTAAACCCATAGCTCGCTACCCCAATCCTGGAACTCTGAACTTTAACCACTGGTATTGCCTCAACATATCAACACCAAATTAATATGAAGATGCAGACCATATCAGTGAAAAATTACTTCGGAGCGTAAAGAAATTACGGGCCATAAGACAACTTGGGGAATAAATATTTCATTCATATACTCACTTGCGATGCCGATACACCATCAATTTCAAACTCTGGACGTTCCTTCTTCAGTCTTTTTTTCGGTGGATTCTGCAGCTATCAACGACATTGATAAAAGAGGTGGGTAGGTAATGAAAATAAACTCATTTAATATTTTCAATTAAATCTAAAATAATATTAAATCATAATAATATAATAACATTTGATTTGAAATATTTTACAACCACAAGTAAAAGCAAAGAGCGGCATAACTCACAAAGCACATAAAACAACTAAAAACAACATTTAAAATGTCTAACCAACAAAATTAACATGGAAAATGATCATTGTGTATACAAAACTCAACGGAAATATTATCCCGTTTCGGCTAGACCGACCTTGACTGAATTCTATGTACTCACTCGAATAGACGTAACATATGAATATACATAAAAAAATATCATCATGATCATGACGTGATACCTCATTAACGACACATACAGCTTAAAAAATGTAAACAACTAACCAAAGGAACATCTGTACTCGTCGAGCTCGAGAAACCACAATCGTGTTGTGACGACCCGTAAACTTCTCCAGGTGAGAAAACTGCCTCAGGCTGATCACTTGTGCCGGCCGTTGTTCGCTGCCCATGCGCGCGGTCATCCGTCGCAGAGGTCTGTAATATTGAAGAAAGCTAAATTTGCTCATGCTACATAAAATATAATAAGCCAAAGCAAAGTTACTGAAATCTTGCACATGAAACGATGCAACAAATTCCGAAAGGAATGAAAAACATAACATAGTAGTTAAAAATGAGTAGATCAAATGCTGTCAAAATCAGCACACTAGACAAATGCGGGCTCTGAACAACTAACATCAGGCTATCTTGCAAATGTAAGTGAGTTTTAATAGAAAAAATAACATCTTATAAGAAAGTCCACATAAGCGGAAAATATAATCACGAACGAAAGCAACCAAATAGTAAAAAATACCTCAGTAAGCACGTGAGAGCACTCACAAGCATTCAAGAAGATTAGGAAAAAATTAACATGGAACTATCATTGAACACAGGAAGAACTTTTAGGAACACAGTTACATCTTTGCTATCATATAACGCAATAAAAATAGAGTATAAATTTTTTGAATTATCACCTCAAACTGCGCCATGGCACTTTCCTAAATTAAAAAAAAATAAATTCATCAGCGTGCTAAATTTTCACTTATATTAATAATACCTACTATAAATCATACAAAGCACTTACCATTGGCACACCTCTCTCTGCCAAGGATGAAGGCACAGACGCGTGTGACGAGCAGCCTGCCTCGGACGGCGCTGGAGTGTACAGCGTTGCAGACGTTGCTTGCGCAAACTCCAGGTTCAATCCAGCCACATCAGGGTCGTCTGTCTTGCAGCACTCCTCAGGGTTTTGGCGAAATTTTCCACAGCTTGAGCATCTGTTTCTTTTGGGCTTCTTTTTCGGAGCCATCTGTAAGATACAATTGAATCTTAATATCAAACCTGTCTTAATTTTAATGGATGAACTATCAAAGGGCCTTAAAGTGACTGACTAAAGGAAGCAAAACACAAACTGTTTTGGTAATAATAGCAAATAGATGTAATGAGTGGATAGTGAGTGATTATGCTACGAGTGTAATAGAAATTAGAGCATGGACAGGTGGAGGTGGTACTTGCTCCAGTAAACTGACAAGCACAACTGAAATTTATTTACTGACATTAAACTGATTGATAAGGCTTGGGGGTACATGGGTGATACTTATGAAGGCGTCTAACCTCTCCAGGGCTACCAGGCCACTTTTGCTGATGAAACATGCTTGAAGCAATTAATAGAGCAGAAAATATAGTTAATGAACTACAATGAATAAATAAAACACAAAATATAAAAAAAATAAATTTAATGACTATATAATTAATGAACATATTATTGAATTTAAAAATGTTAAATAATCAAAGTGGGATTTCAGAGAAAGCATCAAAAATACATGGAGCAAAATAGCTAGGACAAACATAAAAAACATGCATAATACAAGCACAAAACAAAAGAGCTGTTATCATTAACCTATGCAGTGCCAGACACTAACACTGAGGCATTCAAGACTATCTTACCCTTAGCCTGAAGATACAACAGCATTGGTTTACTCACCCTTGCAATAGCTTTGTTCACTAGTAAATACAACTGGTCTTCAAAATTGAACAGTTTATCAAAATTTCAAATTACAGGCAATGGTAATGGCACTGGAATTGTTGCTGAAACAAGAGAATACATGGCATAGTTAATCATGAATAAGTAGTTAAAATCAAGTAAATGGGAGAAGACAGTAAAGGATGTGCTGAATCTTAGTCTAACTATACCTCTCAGTAACACCATAATGAATTAATTTGATCAACAGCGACAACAACAGTGACAACAGCAACAACAACAGCGACAACAACAGTAACAACAGCAACAACAACAGCAACAACAGCAACAACAGCAACAACAACAGCAACAACAGCAACAACAGTGACAACAACAGCAACAACAACAGTGACAACAACAGCAACAACATCAGCAACAACAGCAACAACAACAGCAACAACAGCAACAACAACAGTGAAAACAACAGCAACAACATCAGCAACAACAACAGCAACAACAGTGCTACAACACCGACAACAACAGCAACAACAGCAACAACAGCAGCAAGTGCTGTGATATAATTACAAGCATTGATGGTAATTGTAGACAAAGGTGTACGACTGAGACTTGTGATAATCTCAGTGTGATATATATTAGGCGTTATTCTAAAAACAAATTGGTAAAACATCACTAAATTAAATGTCATAGAATAATGTCTTAGAGCAACCTGTACTGCAAATAATGAATTTTTGTGTCTATATTAAAAAAACCTACTAAGTACAGATAACTCCGAGAATAGTCAACCTTATTAAAGAAATAAGCTGTTTAATGAAATATTATTTTGCCAGGTTTGTGGATGTAGACAGGTTACTTTCACGTCACAAGTACCTTTTGAGCCATACCAGACATTACTACCAGTTACTCTTGCTGCCTGACATGCATTCTAGTTAGAGGTAATAAAGGACCAGGCAAGGGCCTCCAAACAGTCCTGTCTTACCTTTTACATGGCATTATCTTACCTCATGGATTGAAATGTTTCAACATATGTATAAATAAAAGAAGTACAGTCAAACGGAGTAACAAGGGACGGGCGGGGTAAGTCAGGACGCGGGTCCCACAAAGTTTTGTAGAAAAGTTGTAGAAGCTAAACTAATCAAAATATTGCAAAGCTAAAAATAGTGGCGTTTCAACAGACGTATAAATGAAAGTACCATCAAACAGGGTAATGAGGGACGGGCAGGGTAAGTCGGGACGTGGGTCTCGCAAAGTTTTGTAGAAACGTTGAAGCTAAACTAATCAAAATATTGCAACGCTAAAAAAATAGTGGCGTTTCAACAGACGTATAAATGAAAGTACCGTCAAACGGGGTAATGAGGGACGGGCAGGGTAAGTTGAGACGTGGGTCTCACAAAGTTTTGTAGAAACGTTGAAGCTAAACTAATCAAAATATTGCCTGTCTCTTATACACATCTAGATGTGTATAAGAGACAGCAGATACTTCATGTATATCAAGCATAAATAATTTTAAAAATTTAATGACAGCAAAGTTGATTCAAACAGAAGACACTAATGAAGAGACCATAGAAAACCACAAACGACAAACTTACAGACAACCAAGACAGGTCCTAGGATTGAAAATGATGCCTTAGGATTATACATCTGTCAATTAACTCATGGATGTATACATAGCTTGATGGACAAATAATAATGTTAAAAATCAGCTTCATCAGATGGAAATGAACTGGTTGCAAATGATTTCAGAGTTCCAGCAAAAGCATAGATTTAGGGATCATTGGTCTTAATACTTCTTTAAATTGATCATAAAATAAAAAGCATTGATGGTAATTGTAGACAAAGCTGCACGACTGAGACTTGCAATCTCAGTGTGATATAGGTATATCAGGCATTCTTCTAAAAGCAAATTGGTAAAACATGATTTCATATGTGATATTTAAATTTACAGTTGTCATTAATGGTAGATTGGGAATAATTCATCTGTCAGGAATCTTTTAGCTTAACAAATGGTGAAGAAGCTTCAGTCATGGCATAGAAATAACAATAGAATAGAAGTGTCGGCGTTGAAGAAATAGGCCCATGGCCTGTTGCCAATTCTTGAAATCAAGGTTTCAGTTTAATTCATTTGAAGGACATCTGTGAAGTGGGTGGCAGTATCAAAATGGTTGTTATTTATTGCCTCTAGTTTGACAGTTGCAAGTGATGCAAGCAAAANGACTGTACGCTAAAGAACTGTACGCTAAAGAACTGTACTCTAAAGCACTGTACGCTAAAGCACTGTACGCTAAAATACTGTACGCTAAAATACTGTACGCTAAAAGGCTGTACGCTAAAATGCTGTACGCTAAAATGCTGTACGCTAAAATGTTGTCTGTTAAAATCCTGTATGCTAAAATACTGTATGCATGGGTTTGTTGGTAGCGCATGGGTTTGTTGGTAGCGCATGGGTTTGTTGGTAGCGCATTGGTTTGTTGGTAGCGCATGGGTTTGTTGGTAGAGCATGGGTTTGTTGGTAGCGCTTGGGTTTGTTGGTAGCGCATGGGTTTGTTGGTAGCGCATGAGTTTGTTGGCAGCGCATGAGTTTGTTGGCAGCGCATGAGTTTGTTGGTATAGGACGAGTTGATATTGGATAAAAAGTTTACATTATACACTCAAAAGTTGAAATTACACACTCATCCGATAATAGGAATCAGATATTAAGTCAATGGATATTTACTTATCAGATACTAAATTATCAGTTAATATCTGATAGTTGAATTGATTTGACATAACTTTTTTCTGAAGCAAACTGATAGGAATTTTTTTTACCCTCTAGAAAATGAAAATCTTCTGCAAATTTGCATGGTTTATGCTGAGCACAACTACATGTTCAGAGTTCAGCCTCTTTTTTGCAAAATTTGTCATTACATAGTGATTTTTGCAATAATTCATTTTTATTGTATTCCCTATTTCACAGCATCACCATTAAATTAATTTGTATCATGGCATATCTATAATTACTGCTCTTTCCTAATAAAATTATTTTATGCAGCATGTGTGCTTAAATATTTGCTGTTGTCTTTGGTAGAACCAGATGTCAAGATGTTTTAAATTTCACCAATTTCTTTCTGATTTTCTATTCATTACTATACATACATTATGTCAATACTTTAATAACTAAATTAAATTATTGACCTGCTGCTAAGGTGAGAATGGTCTGTACAGGAATTAGTACAGGAATTCATCCTCTATATACGTCCAGGTATGGCACCTTAAGACTAGTATATATATACACTAGTATATACCGTAGTCAATTGCTGAGCATTTTTCTTTATTGCTCCAGGTTACTTTCCCCTCACCCAGTATAACATTCAGATTTTCAAGTTCATTTTCAAACACAAACTCATTCAAAAGCTCCCCATTTTTGTTCACAGGCTCTCCTAGTATACCCACATGTCCATTCATGTCCCCTATGACTACTATCATCTCATTGCTATATTCATCAAGCACTTTCTTCATGCAAGCATACTTTTCTCTGTTCTCATGCTCAGACCGTACTCCCTCCACAGTCATATAACAATCATCACAATTTGCATCCTTTCATTCATAGTTGTTGCATATTCAATCTTCACGGCAAATATGTCCTCGCTCATTTCACTCTCACCCACATTTATTTCTTCAATCTCAAAACCTGCCTCACTCCGGACAACAATACCAACTCCCCCACCCTTGGTTTGTTGTTTAATTCTTCCCTTGTATGCTCATATTTCCCACTTCTCAGGTGTCCACTACCTCTCAGATGCGTTTCTGTAACAGCCACCACATCCATATGCTGTTCCTCTAGTTCCTTGCACATATCTCTTATACACATCTAGATGTGTATNCGCTCGGCAGATCATGTAAGTATTCGAAATGACGGTGTCAATACCTAAACGCGTAGTGGCGCGGAAAAACGGGGGCTTTCGCCCCCATCCGTTTTTTTGATTTCGGGCAACAAGAACCAACGCCAGGGGCAACGGCTATAAACTAAAAAAAACTGCGTTGTATCACATCCATGCGACAACATTTCTTCTCGCTTCGAGTCACCGACATGTGGAACAGCCTCCTTGATAGCATCGTTGACGCTCCGAGTATGAACTCCTTCAAGAACAGACTAGGTAGACGAAGCTATGCAGGAGCATATGTTCGGTTCAGTCATGAAATGCCTAGCACCTTACGGGCCTTGCAAGAGGTCCAGCAGCTCTCTCAATCAATCGGCAGTCATGGAAAGATCGGGTTCAAAAGGCCGGATCCCTTGTGGAATCAAGTCACGAAAAGTACAAGAATCAGCAACAGCCCACGGGCCTATTTCTTCAGTGCCGACTCTAAATTTTTGGATTTTGGCTTTTCCGGTTTTTAGTCTCATCTTAAAGCTGACATTCTGACCTATCCAACGGTTCCAAAACCATCTCTGTACGTTTGTTTATGCGTTCGTTCACGACATATCGCGAAAGGGTTAGGGGTGGTGGAGTTCTTTAACATTTAAGATAGACCGAAATAACCGGCAGTCCACTTAAATAGCTAGTCTGAACTCGCTGTGCTTCAGTTATCCGCCTGCAGTCGTACGGGATAGTTCTCGTGCCGTCATTCGCACCATCCTTGACAGAAATTGAGCTCCAGTATCATCTAGTCATGCAACCTTGAATGTCTATTTCTAGGCGCGCTTGACTTTGTCGGGCTCTACTGAAAAGTTAACTTATTGTCACTGCAAACCCATCTCCTCCTACAGCTTTAAAGCTACAACAATGAGACATATACCGTTCGATTCTTAAAAGAAAGATAAACAATTCATAGTAAGCATTTTCCCAATTTCGTTAAAGTTTGAATTTTATTTCGCAAAAAGGGGGGTGACGGGTGGTAAAATCGAAAATTTAAAAAAAAAATTGCTAAAAATGCCCCCACACCCACAAAAAGGATAATTTCAAAAAACGCGTTCTATCCGGAAAGCGGAAAATTGTAGGGCGGAAAGCGGAAACTGTTAGGGTACTTTGCTTGAGAGAGTCAGCCGTCAGCGGTCTGCACTCTGCAGCTGCAAGCAGCAGAAGCAGAGACGCTCTCAGGCCCGACTATCATCCTTGCGGTTCAGCGGTTGTCTTGTGTCTTTAAGTCCATCCAGCGTGGATAGTGGCACTTCTGCCGCCTTAAAAGCACAGCAGATTTGTAGCAGTGAATTCAATGAAAGTCTGAATTGCGTGTTCGAGACTGCAACAAGCTCTGCCCGCAGCTCTGGACTGGATGTTCTGTGATGTTAAGATTCGGGGACAGGGCCTACGCTACGGCCAAATAAACGCTGAAACCGCTATAACTTAGTATAAGTATAACTAAGTGCCTCTAACACCCCTTTCACACAGGGCCTGTCGGCCTGATGAGGGCGGTATATACTGCCAGGCGGCGCCCAGCGTCCAATCACTCCAATGGTATTTATTGCCAAACCTTAGCAGGGCTTGGGCTTTGGTGGCCATACTACAAAATTTGCACTGCTATTCACACATGACAGCTTTTAACATGGCATAGAATTCAATGCCTGCCTGTATCCTGCTAAAACTGCGGCGGTAGACTACCGTAGAATAGTAGATGTGCTGTGCCAGTTTAGCTTGCAATGGTATTCAAGCTTCAAGGTAATCTTTCTCACACGTCACACTACATGGTTTTTGACGCCTCATCCTAATGTGGTAGGCTAATTGTGGTTGAGAGTTGAGCCGGGGGCTGGGGTCCTATTTTAGGTGCATAATAAACAGGAATGCAAGACTGACAGATTTTAGACCAGGTTTGGTATTGATTAAATCAAACTGATTAAATTATTGCATTTTTCTAAGAAAATTGTGATTTTTTTTTATTTTTTAAATATTTGTATTTTTTTATATATTTAAATATATTAAGCGGAAGTCTTTAATTTATTTTGAGATATTGTTATTCATGGTTTAGTATAAATGTACTATGACAAATTGTAATTTAAACTTGTTGCCTTAACAGGCTTAACTGTGTATTAGGTTTCAATGAATTGTATATTTTTGGTACAGAGGCATCAAGTGTTGTAAATTGCAATACATTGTACATAGCTAGTAGCTTAGCTAATGCTTATATGGCTAGAAGTAGTCTTTACCTAACTATTTGTTATATATTAATTACAACATACAATTTAAATGTGTTAGCTAGTTTATAACTTTATATATGGTGCTGGTGGGGCTGCTCACTGGGGCAGAACTGATTGAACAGTTTTGAGACAATATAAATGAGTAATGGAGGTACATAAAGAAGAACGTTTATTTTCCTTGAGGTTAGCATAACATACCATTTAAAATACTTAGGTTTTGAAAACACTATCAGGAAGATGGTGTCTGTTGGCTGCATCACACTGTTGGAGTTGTTCTTGGAAGTTTCCTACAGCACGTTCACACATATGGCAAGGTATGACCATCACTTCTGCTGCAATAATCCATTCCCTTAGCTGTGGTAGGGTGTGTGGGCAACTTCTGAACACCCTCTCTTTTAGATGTCCCCAAAGAAAGAAATTGCAAATGCTCAAATCAGGTGACCTTGCACTTGCAGGCCACTGTAAATCACCCATCAGAGACACCAGATGTCCAGGAAACATGCGTTTCAAAACATTATATGACATTCGGGCTGTGTGAGCTGTAGCCCCATCCTGCTGGAACCACATGTCTCCCAATGCTTAATTTTCAACAAGGTTTTCCATCCTGGGCTGCAAGAAATTTTGCTACATTGCAGCATAGCATTCAGAATTCACTGACAGGGTTACTCCCTGGCGTCCTCCAAGAACGACTCCAACAGTGTGTTGCAGCTAATGGCCACCATCTTCCGGTTATTGTTTTCAAAACATAAGTATTCTAATTTGTATATTATGCTAACCTAGAAAAAAAAATAACTTTATTCTTTATGTACCTCCATTACTTTTTTATTCAACCTCAAAACTGCTCAATCGGTTCTGCCCCACCCTGTATATTGAGAGGTATAGATTGTACTGACCTTTTAGGCAATTAGAAAGATTTTCCACCCTAATATGAGTATTCTAATTAAAATATTCAATTTCAATCTTTAAATATGTCAATTTAAAACTAAACAATTACAATTATAAACTATATATAAAATAAATAAATGCAGTGAATGGAAATAAAATGTTTGAATTGTGCACATGCTTATTTCAAACAGTGTTAGCTTTTCTCATAACATTAGTCTCGTTTCAAGTTGTTTGAGGTTGGTCTGGTTGTTGTTCAGTTTATGTTTAGTATTGGTTTATTGGTCTGAATCAAATACGAACAGTACAATCAGTCACTAAGTCACTACTAGTTGGTGTGTTTAGACTTAGAGGGTAGAGTCTGATAGTGTTGTGCACTGTGCTATCAGCTACCTATCTGTTAGTGACTCTTCAATGTTTAGAGTATTTTTGTGTTAACATTTTTAAGTGTTTTTGTATATTGAAGCCAGTTAAATGTTAAATATTTAGCCTGTTACCTTGCTCCATACAAACTTTACAAAACTAATGAATAGATTTATCAATAATTGTTTACCCAAAAGCCCCAAAGTGGTAAACACCACCTTGGCCATTCTTGAAGGCAATTACTGCGCTTTTTAGCCATCCATTTTGATACATATATATACCGTAAAATGGGGTAACTTTGACCGGCGGGGTAACTTTGACCACTTTTCGTTTTTTTAACAAAAACCCCCAAAACTCAAAAACGATTTGACGTAGAAAATTTTTGTCAATGGCCATCAAAGGCCTAATACTGAGGCTACGTACCACAATAGAAAGATTTAAAAAGTTTGCATATCTAATAGGTTAAAAAATTAAAAATGTGACCCACGAAAAAGAGCTATTATTTAAAGCCTGTCGGAGTACCCCCTCCAATTTTTTTATTTTTTGGTAAAATAACTCCAGGTTTTGATGCATTGTAGTAGAACTCTTATAGTTACATATGCAAAAGACAAATTTTAGAAAAGTGTCATAGTTTGAAAATGGGGGGCGACGCCCCCCAATAGGGTAACTTTGACCACCTAATGGCAGCCGTGACGGGGTAACATTGACCGGCTTGGAAATTAAGTTAAAATTACCATAGGTACCTATATGACATATTATATGTTTGATACACCTATTAATTTTTTTTCTTCATGTTTCAGACTCTACAGAGTCTTATATATGGTAATTTTAACTTAATTTCCAAACCGTGTTTCAGACTCTACAGAGTCTTATATATGGTAATTTTAACTTAATTTCCAAACCGGTCAATGTTACCCCGTCACGGCTGCCATTAGATGGTCACATTTTGCCCATTTGGGGGCGGCGCACCCCATTTGCAAACTATGACACTTTCCTAAAATTTTTCTTTTGCATATGTAACTATAAGAGTTCTACTACAATGCATGGAGTTATTTGGAGGTTGGAGCTATTTTACCAAAAAATAAAATTGATTTTACCACCCAGTCAAAGAAACCCCAAGAGCTGGGGTAACAAAGACCATCACTTTTTTTTAAATTACATCAAAACTATGAGAGGCAGGAGCCAGCAATTTATGGTGAGTATAGCTAGAGTATAGACCTGTATTTTGCACGTTTCAATTTAAGTTTAACTTATCTAGTAAAAAAATGGCATCATTTTGAAAAAAAAGTGGTCAAAGTTACCCCAGTTTACGGTACCACTGTTATTGTTAGTAGGCTAATTGCAACATAAAAAATAACCATAATTTTAGAAGCTGATGCTGTGATAGAATGTCACTTTATATCACTCATAAAACATAATCACTGGTGTCAAAAGAACCACATCCTTTCATATTATAATAAATTGAGAAACTTGAACCATAGTGTTTGAGACAAATCTACCTGTTGTTGTTGTAGTTGTGGTTCCCCGGTCTCATTTTTATAAGAGACCCCCCTCATGCAAGTACCGTACAACACCACTGACAGGGGGTCGCTCCAGAGCTGTAGTGCTGAGGTTATGTGGTGGTGCTGTCTGAGATCCTGCCAGAGTGGACATCCCAGAAGAATGTGAGTGATTGTGTGGGGAGCTCTCTGGCAGGATGGACTGGTGTCTGTGTCTGGGCCTATTGTCTGCTTCAATATTTTTAATGATCTTATCTCCTTTCATTTCTAGATGTAAATTGGAATTTCATATTAGTTTTAGGTTTCTTGTTCTAGGAATTTATGCTACATTAATTATTTTACTTCCTTTTCTGGGCTGGAGAGAAAAAGTACATAAAAAGTTGCATAATGAGAGCACAGACACAACAAAGAAATTAAATGAGCATGAAAGCCAAAGTGTTGTGCTAAAAAGCAACACAACTCCCCCTAAACAATATTCAAATATTCAGGCACATGAAATCAAAGGTTTAAATATTAGCTAGTCTTCTTTTGCTAATTCAAAATTTGCGTTTAGTTTTGACTCGTTCTATTGTCTTAACTGGAAGAAAAGGAATTGGTATCAACTAGTGACATTTTATAAATTTTGTTGAAAAAATTTCAAATTTTATTTTCAGAAGGGCTAAAATTGTAGCCAAAGATTAACAGTGACAGTTAACTTGTTCCTATTAAAAGTGAGCATGGCAGCTGCAACAGATTTCCAGTTAAATAAAACGGAAGAAATCATGGAAGGATTCCTGTGCCCTGTGTGTTTGCAGGACCTGACCTCCATAGCTCAGCTCCAGGTACATTTTGAAGAAAAGCATTCTGCAGAAGATAAAGCCCTTCTAAACTCACTCAAGTGTAAGTTATTATACATGTATAAATATAATTTGTACATAGACTATATTTTGAAGTTTTGTATAAGGAATACTGGTATAATAAGTTGAAATTTTGATTAAGTAAAGAAATCTTGATTCCTATTACAAAATTAATTGATCATACAGAATATTTCCCCTTGCAGCTATATTCAGCAAAGCAAGAAAATTGTTAAATGACTCAGACACTGAAGATGACGCTCCTTGTGCTTCTAAGTTGCCTGAGTCAAAAGCTGGTGGGGCCAAAATCTACTCGAATATTTTCTCTCAGAATTCTGTTCCACCTTGTCTACCAAACTGCAATGATCCCTGGAATTGGCAAAACACTGCAACAGGTAAAGTAATGAGGGAATACTTTACTATCTGGTTAATTATTCAGTTTTTTTTCTCCTTCAAGCTCATTTAATATTTGTGAGTCCAAATCTTGTGAATAAATTATATGAGTACAGTATATACCATAGCTATGAAGTATGCATTATTGTTCCTGACCTACTACTTAGAATGTATATCCAGTGCTCTCTTTTGCTCAAAAATGATTATTATAGTGAATATTTGCTATTACTGATAAAACTGGTTTCATAGCTGTGATCAGATATTTTTTTCCGTGAACTTGGTATTAGCAAGCATTTGAGCTGCTGGTTTGGTTGTAGATATTTCTCACTGATGGCTTCATGTAGATTGTACTCGTGTGCAGTTCCCCAGAGGTCCCATACTTCTCTATTCAAAACAATCCGTAGTGATCGCATTGACACGTATGTTGCTGAGACCAACAAACTCCTCCTCAGGCTGGATAAGCTCCTTGCTGATGCCCCTTCAGATCCAGTCAAAAGAAAAGGTAGCGTGGTGACTAGCCCCCTGTAGTAATCCCATAAGTGTACCTTCCCTAGATAACCAGATTTTTCTATGAATGATAGGTTTTATTTATTCCTAAAACAAATTACAAGTATTTTTCATCCCATAAAAAGCACAGATTCATCTCAGTTGAGTATATACTGTATATCTGATGTCTGTGATTACCAGTCATTCCAAATGTGATTAAGAATATCTCCTTGGATTATGTAAATAATTATCAATGCTTTTAATTATTTGTACAGAAAGTAGGGGAACTTTTGTCATTGACAATGCTTATGTTTATGTTTGGGGATATCTTATTTGCAAAACATACTTATCAATTGTGTTACTAAGTACTTTGTTCTGTACTTTGTGTTATTGTTTTTCAAGCTCAAGAACGCGAGCTTGTGCCGTGGGTTGATGACGCTTGTGTGCCGCTGTGTCCTGACTGCGGCCGATCATTCAGTGCCTTGACCCGTCGGCGCCATCACTGCCGCCTCTGCGGAGCCATCATGTGCAACAAATGCTCCATATTCATGTCCATGGCCTTCGCTAGTGAGCATTTCTTGTCTATATGTAATACACAAGCTGATTAGCCCAGCATTGTCTGAGCTATCATTACAATATTACAAACACATCTGATTCTCGCCATCCCTGTTGTCCTTAATACCGTTAATAATAATGAAGCTTATACATGCTTGTCAAAAAAACCTCAAACCAAGATCTTTCATGGAATATATGCAACTGCTCTTTTGACTCTTGCTTCTAAATATGAAAAAGCTATTTAGCTCCTTTTTATTATTTTTTGAGACGAAGGTATTGATAATTATAAAAAATGAATTGTGGATATTTGTCCCTATGTATTTACTGTGCCGGGCTACTAATACACAAATGTGCACAATTTAACACATACCGTATTTATTTCATTAAACTAAGTTTGTTTTGCATGCATATCTATATTGATAACCAATTTAATTTGACAACTATTAGTACTGACTAGATCTAATCCTGGTTGTTTTATTTTAACAGAAACCAATATTTAATAGATTTGTTAATTATTTTTAATGGATTCTTCTTATAATCCAAGAATTGTAGAACTTATTTTATATTTGTATTCAGTAACCTGGTGTAATGTACAAATTAAGGTAACTACCGGTACAGTTGATTGTCTTGTCAGTATTTCTTCAATGCGTGAGATAGCCTTCTTCTATGGTCACAGCAAAAATTTTTTGGCTGACAATTATCTTTTTGCGCCTGGAAAAGTATTCTCCTCTAATTTAAAAGACTAATTTGCTCTTCCTCTTGATACATTGTTAGTGTAATGCAATAAGACTGCATGTATTTTCTCAGAGCAACTGGTCGCACCTGTGCATGTGGCAACGCTCATGAGTGGCAGCTCTGCTCAAGGCAAGTCCTCGCCCGGACACTCGCGCGGCAACAGCGGGTCCCGACACGTGCTCGATGGCAGCGCCGGGTTCAGCCTCAGGAGGTCTGGGTCTCAGGGCAGCCTCAACTCTATTGCGTCCATGATGGATCAACTAACAGGGGAGCAGCATTTGCGCGTGTGTCAGCACTGCCACCAGGTACTTGATGCATCATAACAAACTGTTGCTCTCGACTTTACCTGTTTTCTTAATTGTTAACTTTTTAGCGCATTTTCTCATTTATGGAAAAAATGCACTATTGTGCTCGCCATGTCCGTCTGTCCGTCCGTGACCTCAAGTTTTCGTCGACGAGAAAATGCGCTCTCTGTCACTCACTGCCGTGAGTACTGAGTTAAATTTTCTGTAACTTTTTACTGGCGTCATTACCTCGTATTAATTCTTTGGTTTTATATTCAAATTATATACCTGTCAGCAAGCGGGGAGTAGTCTCCAACGTTGTAGCTGTAGTCTTAATACCGGCTTAAGAACCTTAACTGTTGGATGGTTAATAGACACTACAATATGGCTAATTGAGGACTTGCTTCATTGATAATTAACTTAATCGAGCAGTTCCTAAAGCAACATTTAACTCTTGGTTAAGCATCATGTTTATTTGTAGCAATAATGTTGAGCGCTGCATACGTTGCCAACTGCAACTTCAGTTAGTTTTGCTACTAAATGGCAATGGTGTAAAATATTGGAATTGTTTAAAAATTGCCTGAAGGTTTTACCTTTTAGTAAAATTACTTCATTGATCTGAGGAATTCCCTGTAAGTCCTAAATAAGTTTTCATTTAAGATTGTTATGAGGAATATTAGTTAACTCTTGAGTGACGTGGTGGTGCATGTGTAATGGCAGCGCGTTTGTGCCCGGGACCGCGCAGTACAGCAGCGGCAGCATCAGCCCCTGCTGGCGCTGCTCTACAGGAAGCTCATGACGGACCGCGCCACCCTCTACAGACTCCTGCCACAGTACCGCACCATGGCCGCCTCACTCTGGTTCGTCTTGTGCTAATCCCAAATTATCGTTTTTTATTCGAGTTTCTAACCTGTTGCCAGCTATTCTCCAATACAAACCTATGATGTTTGATAATTTTCGGTTTTCAGGAATCCTTACTGATACAACTCATGCTTTTGAGGCATTGAAGTCAGTCCGAAATGGCGGAAAAACAACAAAGACATACTTTTATTTTTGCATTCCCAATTAGTATAAGTAATCATCAAGAGCAAGCAAAACTCTTTGGTTTTAGATTCATAGCACAAAAACGGCCCATAAGTTTTCCACTGCAAGACAACGTACCGTTCCGGACAAGTTCATTCAACTCATTCACTATGCCCGCAAGAATGATTGCGGGCATATGCTTGATTCACCGCATACTGCTGGGCACGTGCCAGGCATATGCCAGTCACGGTCCACTCCAATGTCTTTTAATGCATTTCCATAGAAGCTTTCACACTAGTCGTGCAAGGCACCTGCCGTGCCCCTGGTGTGGATGCTTATATGCCCAGCACGTGCCCGACAGTATGGTGTCAACCTTCAGTTCCTGGTAATATTTCGGTATAAGTGACCAAACTGTCCGAATGTGTGACTAAATCGTCGTTAAACATTTACTATTCGTGGCTTTAGACGAAAAAAATGTATTAGATAAATATAGCTGAGAAGTTCTGCTACCTTCTTGGGCTTGATATAAATTTTGTGAAATCTTTAATGTAGCTCATTATCTGTATTTGTCTTCATCCGAGTCGTAATTGTACGTTTGGGAAGAGTTGAAGCTTCAATTGCATCGCGGGCGCAGAGACTCTTCATGTTCACAATTTCTTCTTTTGATATTTTTGTTATTTATTTGATGTTGTCATGCAGGAGCGGTGAGAGCGTGTACAATCTAAGTGATGCATGTGAGCTGCGGCTCAAGGTGCTGCGGCTTGGTGACAGTATCAACGCCACCGCCCAGAAGATCAAGACTTTAGGACCTGTTGAAGTTCAACAGTCGCAGCTAAATGATCCTGAGAGTAAGTAGGTGCAGCTATGATATTATTCTTTTATCACAGAGCTAGCAATGTGTTGAAATAATTGTTGTATTTAATTTCTTATGTAACTATTCCTAGTTGCAAAATGTGTCATCAAATATTGTCCAATAATTCTTTGATTTTATTGCAGATCAGCCGCCTCTGGGCCCACGACAGGAACTGCTCCAGAAACGCATTTACCAAAGTGCTGCAGCATTCCTCAAGACAAACGTGTTGGGGCTCGATAAGCTGCCAGACGCGGAGGAGCTTCAACAGCTTCAGACCAAACGAAGGTTTGAATTATCGGGTTTCATGATGGGATTCCAGTTATACGGCTTAATTATGTAGTGCTTTTGCTTATGTTTTAATTTGAAATTTTACCTCGAGGAAAATAGTATATTAAGTATACATACATGATTTGATATCAACAAACCGTCGTTTTGATATGGTTCCATGGTTTGCAGGGAGCAAGCGGCGCGGCGTCTTGCTGAAGAACGTAAAGCTGCCGAGCTCGCAGAACTCAGAGCTGAACAAGCACTCATCAAGCTGAGGCAGCGAGATGCTGAAGTGATCACTACAAGGTTCGATGACAGCAGCCGGCTAACATTACTTAATTCATTAATACTTGGAATATTTGTTTTGCCCATCAGGTGTCTTTTTCGTGTGCTGAACATTGATTGCGCCTTGTTACATAAACTCACACTCTCATTAATTATGATGTAAAATGAGGTATGATGGTTATTGTACAGAAATGCTCGCGATCGCAGTTTAAACTCTTCTGGCTCCTCGGCGCACGAGAGACGGGCGCTGGTGCACAGGCCCTCCCCTGGTGCGTCCGTGGGCGAGGAGGGCTGGGGCGGCGACGCTGACGCGCACGTCGTCACCGCCACGGACGACCCCGTCGTGCAGCAGATGAACATCATCCGTAACTACATCAAGCAAGCCAGGTAAGTTCTCACTCCGTTGTCAATAATTGTTAACGATCCATTGAATGCGCTGGTCTGCAGATCCTTGTTTTTCTCTATACGTCTGTTTATTACTTAGCTAATAATTTAGTCGTGAGCTAGAAGTGACTAGGATATTTAAAGTATCTTTGTTTTCAGTTATAATTTATAAACATAAAATAATAATCGTAATAAGTATACTCATTTAGCGCATTCAATTTTGATAGAAGAAAAGATTTTATTTCAAATTTTCTTGTTTTTTTTTTATCTGGTTCCGTAGGCGTTTTCAGATCAAGAAGCAGTTTTCTTAATGGCTTTTATTATATAAAAGATGTTTCTAATAAACATTACTACATATTTCATCAAAGATTGAGGTTTTCCAACTCTTGAAATTTTGAGATTTTGAAAGGACTCGAATGCCAAAAATGGTTATTATGCATACAATTCGAAAATCTTTAGCTATAGCTACCGAGAATATAATTTCAAAGTCCTGACAAAGTGCAGTGTATAATTTTTGTTTAATAGCTTGATATGACTCAAGAAGACCCAGGAAAATTATTACATAAAAAGCAACAAAAGGTTCGTCACGTTTGCAGAGAAGCGTGCCGCTATGAAGAGGTTAGCACTCTGGAGAAGAACTTGAAGGAGCTGCAGGTGGAATATCGACGTCTCAACGGCACCACGTAACTCCTGCCACCTGTCAAGCTTCCTGCCTTATAGTGTCTGTGTCAATGTTCCAGTTATCATGTAATTTGTGTTACTACGACATCTTATCGAAGAAATTTGCTTTGATATTGCAATCAATTTTCTTATCAGTCTTTAAACTGGATTATCGGACAGTTACTCCAAAAATTTACATAATTGAAAATTTAATCCCATATGAAGAAGTCTATTGATGGCTCATTCTATTTTGGACCTCGACTTGCATAAGCCGTGGCCCAGCAAGTGTGCAGAGTTGAAGTCAGCAAAATGAAACTCCCCTGAACTTAAATTCGAGACATCCTCCTGTAAATCAGCTCAACTCGACAAATGAGTTGATGGCAGAAGCTGCTGTGTGTATGATCTGATTATGTAAGGTGTAATTTTCTTTCATTTATTATGCAAATAATTTCTACGCGAATGATCAGGTTTCTGCTGATATTATTGTTTCGTCAGCTGATTTAACTTCGCTGCTTATCTTGTGCCTGCTTGAGTCGCCAGTACCTAATTGTTAAGTGTTTATTCCTCCTTGTTTTCTGGGACCCCTCAGTGATCACAGTGCAATAAATGGTTGCATTTCAAAATTCTAGCTTGAATATCACACATCACTCCAATCAGGACATTTATTAATTTTGATATAATACATTTGTAATTTAGCTTAGATATGTGTATATATATATATGCTGGTTTTATATATGTGAAGATCGTTATTTATTACAAATATTAGTTTTATGGTAATAGGGTTTCTCTACCTTGAATGGCTCATCTATAATTTTCCCCACCCTGATTAATGAGTGGTATACTATTGAATGTTTCAAGAGGAAAAATACGCTACAGATCTGCAGCTACGTTGAAATTAGCGCCGCTCGTTGTTACCTAATATCGATAGTATAGTTTGGCGACTATCGATAGTATAGTTGGCGCAACTTGAAAAATAGCTGCTATATTATTTCTGTCTGCAGTAACACATAGAAACTCGTCGTGCAATTCGTTGAACCATTCTAAGCTCGAGTAGACGCAATTGTTCCAAGGTCGTGCGCTATTTTTGTCACTTATGTACAACACCTGAGAACGAACGGCCTTTAATTGCACAGGAACTCGTTAGTCTCCTTCCTTGAGATGGGCTTCGATGCTGAACCTAACTGTTTGAGATGGGCTTCGATGCTGAACCTAACTGATAAAGCCTGGTGTAGTGATACTCACTTGATGAAGTGTTTTGTACCAAAGAACCCCCCGAAAGATTTGATGACAAACCAGTGATAAGATGAATTTATGCTCAAACTTTCTTCTTCTGTAGTATGTGTGAGAATTTTGTTTATGCTCTAAAATCTAAATGATCGCCTCGCCGTGACGCAGATACTTGCGTGTTAGTTACAGTTTCGTTTCAACAACATTGTGTGCGCGAGTCTCAAAATAGTCCTATGTTTATTGTCTCAAAATCGTCTTATGTTTAACTTCCGATATCTCTAATATAGGTTATTTGACGACTATCTGATCACCAAAAGTCTTGCGGAGATATTTCCCTATGAAACATGGAGCTTATTTTTTAATACTCTAAGCGTTTCCTAAGTGATCTAATTTTCTCATACCTATATTTTGTTCGAAGTATCATTCTACTCGACGTATTTGTTATTACCTGTCTCCAAGATTATCTCCAAGCAGCTCATATGCGAACCATATTATTAAACTTCGTCTTTATTTCGTTTGTTATTTCCCCGAGAAATAATGCATGAACAATGTTAGGCGTCGCTTGCTAGACCAATAACACAAACAACAGTGCTTTAAGCTAAGTTCACTCACGATATTGAGGTGTTATCACAGATCTTTTCAGTTTCACCTCTAATCACTTACCAAGGAAAGTTTTGTGATCATCAAATCGCGGATATTATTGATCAAGAAAACGTAAAGATTTAGATCGGGGGAATGGCCATTGCGCGGTTAATTTGCTTGTAGCATTTTGCAACTAAATGCATGAGCTCTGCAATCGAAGAGAACCCATATATTATCAATCTGCTTATATCGCAAGTTGACAAGGAATTTAAAAGCAAAGAAAACACCAAGCAAATTCACCATATCGATATTGAAAACTTTTTGGAGTCCAAGTTCCATCATCAGTTCGAAAAACAAAAATCGAATAAAATCATATTTTACGTCAAAATTCTAAGACACATAAAACCTAAGCAAAGCCCAACATTATATCGAAAAAAGAAAGAAACAGGACTCGATTGGAACAACTTAGTCCTAGGGGTCACGAAAATAATACAAAAGCTTAGCGATTCACTATTTCCAGATTATACGAACTAAACGCATTATTGAGACAAGGTTTTCGTTTGAAGATATGTAGACTCCAAAATTCTCAAATCCGAGCAGCCAGAAATAAAATCAAGTATCCTGAAATCACTCTCAGTTACAGCCACGTCGCACTGTTCGTCATGGAGGCGCACGGAAGAATGAGGGGGCTTGGAGAGAGGCATGTTAGAACGATAGCTCCTGCCACGGTGTTCAGAGACCCGGATGTAGAAGTTGCACGACGTCATTCCAACGTACGCAGATGCGCAGCGCGCACAACTGAACGCATAGACCAGGTTTGATCGTATCCGGGAAGGAATAGCGTTTTTATACCTGAAGAAAGAACCAATTTTGAAATTATTTACCAGCAAAATTTGCAAATTTATATTGAGTAATATTTCATATTTAAAAAAAATTAAAAAATTCATAATCCTGATTTCACTTCGAAATTTCAATTCCGACCTATTTTTGCTGCGTATAATACCCCGAGCTTTAACATAGCTAAATTTTTAGTCCCCATTTTGACTTGTCTAACTACTAGCCAGTTTACTGTTGATAATACCTACTCGTTTGTCGACCGTTTGAAAGATTTCACCGATGTTCAGCACCTGACTATGGCTTCGTTCGATGTGGAAAATTTGTTCACTAATATTCCTCTTACAGAAACTATTGAAATCTGCCTCAACTCTTTGTTTAATGATAGGAATGATCTGGTGATCGATCTTAACCGCAGTCTTTTTAAAAAGTTTCTGGAATTATCAGTCATGAACTCATTTTTTAGTTTCGCTGATAAACTTTATAAGCAAGTTGATGGTTTAGGAATGGGCCTTCCCCCTTGGTCCACACTCGCTAACATTTTGATATGCTTTCATGAGGTTTCATGGTTGGCCGATTGTTCCATTGATAATGAACCGATTTTTTTATAATAGGTATATTGATGATACCTTTCTGATCTTCAAGCATCCCTCTCATGCGGGCTTTTTCTTTGATTATATTATCTAAACCTCAAACATCCTTTAATAAAATTCACTATGGAATTAGAATCCAACAATAGCTTGTCGTTTCTCGATTGCAAAATTACTAAGTTTGGCGGTCGTTTTCAGACTTCCGTTTATCGAAAACCGACATTTACCGGCTTGGGTATGAGTTTCTTTAGCTTCTGCTCGTTTCGTTTCAAATTGAATAGTCTTCAAACTTCGATATACCGCGGCTATAGGATTTGTTCTACCTTCCATGACATGCATTTAGAATTCGAATTCATTCGTAATATATTTCAGCTCAATGGTTTACCATCATGCCTTGTGTTTAGTAGAATCAAATGCTTCTTATCTAACAAATTTTCTGAAACTGTGATTGAATGTGATTGTAAGAAAACTATTTATTGCACATTGACCTATTTTGGTAGTGCGTATGAAACTATGTCCAGAGAACTGAAGATTTTGTTTATGAAATATTTCCCGAATATAAATTTGCATGTTTTGCTGATAAATAATTTCAAAATTGGTTCTTTCTTCAGGTATTAGGACGCTTAGGACGCTATTCCTGCCCGGATGCGATCAAACCTGGTCTATGAGTTCAGTTGTGCGCGCTGCGCATCTGCGTACGTTGGAATGACGACGCGTAACTTCTACATCCGGGTTTCTGAACACCGTGGCAGGAGCTATCGTTCTAACTTGCCTCTCTCCAAGCCTCTACATTCTTCCGTGCGCCGCCATGCTGAACAGTGTAACGTGGCTGCAATTGAGTGTGATTTCAGGATACTCGGCTCCACTTCTGGCTGCTCGGATTTGAGAATTTTGGAGTCTCTACATATCTTAAAACGAAAACCGTGTCTCAATAATGCGTTCAGTTCGTATAATCTGGAAATAGTGAATCGCTAGGCTTTTATATTCTTTTCGTGACCCCCTAGGACTCCAATGGAGTCCTGTTTTTTTTTTCGATATTATGTTAGGTCATGTTTAGGTTTTTTGTCTGTCTTAGAATTTGACTTAAATTATGATTTTATTCATTTTTAATTTTTAGAACTGATGATGGAGCTGGATTCCGAAACGTTTTCAATATCGATATAGTGAATTTGATTGGTGTTTTCTTTGCCTTTAAATTCCTTGGGAAGAGAGCCCTCGATGGGTACTAGCGAAGCACGCACGGGTGATGACGCTATTGTGACACCAAATCTTTTACATAAATCGACTATTTCCAAATGATGTATTACCCCTTCGAATTATCAATAAAACTGGTACAGTTTTTAGTTTATTGTGAGTTTTTGTTGCTAATGTTCAGTAAATTATAAAATACATTCATGTTCCTTTGCATTTACATCCTACGAGTTTAATGAGGATAATGAAGAAGTTACTTTATTTGCGTGGCGAGGTGAGAATTTATAAGCAGTCGACCGCATCCCCCAAAATACAGTCTCGGGCACCTCGATGGGGTCCTATGTAGGAGAGCAGCTTCTGTCCTACAGGCTACAGGAGACGCAACGCCAGAGCATTCAGAGTGGCAAGATTGTTCATTCACCAGTTCAAAGCATCAGTTGTGAATAAACTACTCCATGTTATTGAATTTTTCGCATAAGTAAAAACCTGGTCTCTATGAATTGGGACTCTCCTCCTTAAGGTCGAATATGTTGCGGTTACTGAACAGCTTGCTTTTTCGCCCAATTGTCAAGGCCCACTTAGTGTTCATGCGCTCCCCTTTGCAAACCTTTAGTTTAGTACCCTCACTTGATCTATAATGCTGATCAAAATGGCTTACCGTTCGCTCTTTCTACCTATTGTGTAGTCCGGAACTTGCTCACACTATGTTCCGGACTACGCAACAGGCAGGAAGAGCCAACGACAAGCCATTTTCATCAGCATTATATATCAAGCGAGGGTACTAAACTACGGGTTTATAATGTGAGCGTATGAACACTACGAATTTGCAAGCGGCGATGTCTGCAACGGCAGGAAGGTCTGCAATGCAAGGAAGCGACAGGAGTGTAACGGAAGATTGTAGTCTCGCAGCCTTAAGCAAAAATATCTTTATAGACACTGTAAGTTATTTTAACTTATTTAAGCCTCTGAATTTTTAAAAGATGAATGCAAACTTAACCGCCCAGTCCGAAAAGTGCTCTTCAGAATTGTACACGACCTATTCAAATTCAATTCAAGCTACTTTAACAGATAAAATAAATAAATAATATGCAGTTAACTTCAACTTGAATTTTAGAACTTTGTGTAGATCATAGCGAGAAAAATTGCCTGTTTACTACATGCCAACAATTCTATTTAGATCAAATCAGAAATTATTACCGATAAATTCGTTCGTGGTACGTTAATTGATTGCGACGAGGTTCGTTCAGCATGCAAAAAAATCAAGCTGATGCGCATATCCTGAGGCGTACTCGGGCGTACGCCAGACGCATCGCAACGATGTAGTACGCGCGGCAGACGCTGGGAGAAAGTGTCTGAGTGACCTTGACGATCTGCGGTAGTGAGTCTGATTTCTGCCGCGCACCAAGATGCTATGCTTGCTTACAGTAACGAAATAACGATATGCGTGTGATGCGACCATCACAGCTCTGTTATTAGACAACCTGCGAGAAAACTGCTAATGTTCGTAAAATGGATCATTCATCGCTTGCAATAGTTACGAATAATGAATGATACATCAGTCGACTCATTCAGCTAAAAAATTTTGTGTACATTTCTAGTCGATGTAGATGGTTGGCTTCTTGAGTGCTCAGGTTTTATTCACTCATTCGGCATTCATGTGTTGTTGTTGTTGGCTGCAATAAGTTTTCGTTTTGATTTGGACGTTTTCGGTGATACTATAATATGGAAAAAATAAGGAATGTTCAATTTTATGTTAGATAATAAATCTTGGTTTTTGTAATTGTTGGCATTTATCAACATTGAATTTTCTACTTTACATTCGACAGCCTAATATAAACTACAGTTGAGAATTAAATACTTAAGTAGACTTCCTAGCTTGTGGGATCTACTCATTAACCCTGCGCAATTATAGCTGAAAAAAGCTTAAAAAGAGAACAGTAAACGCGCGGATGACAGCGCACCGCGCCGCCCCTCGCATCTTGCACCCGACGAGCTTGGGATTCTTGAGTGGAGTGTCTGCCGCTGCCCGGCGAGACAGCGGGCAACCCACGTGCCCGCCAGCGACGCCCGTTTCGGTCTGCCTTCCTTACCGGCCCCGGCACGAGCCCCCACGTGTCTGCTGCTCCTCTGGCACACGCATGTCATGTGCACGCGCGCTAAATTACCACTGGCGTGAGCCTTGCATTGCTCTCATTTTCCTGTAGTCCTTCATAAGCACAGGCCTTATTTGTTGTGTTTAAGAATAAATTTCATTTCATTTTATTCCGTCATAAATTTGATTTGGATATCAGTTGTCCAGACTGAACTGATTGC